AAACTCTGAAATCGTGTTTTTTTAATCTATAATAATTGTTAATGTCATTGTTTGTCTGCAGTTCATTTGATATTAATGTTACTGTTACACACAATCAGCGTCTGTTATTTTAATAGTTTTTTTTTTACATCCAACGCATAATTATTTAGTAATTAAAATACAATTTAGTTTACTACAGAAACAAAAACGTTTAAATGTCCATCACTATTTACAACATGTTATAAATTGGTTTTAAAAAAAAAAAATCCACTGATTAAAAATATATAAGACTTATCTACATTTTAGTATTTTTCCATTTGTATTGTGTTGTTATTCTACGATAATTGTACGAATACTGTTGCAATACCTGTCGTTGACATGTTTTTACTGCAAGATTTAATTGAATAATCTATATTATATGATGACGAAGTGATACGAAATATTTGCATTATAAATAAAGCGTGAGCCGTAATAAGGGACATGCGTACGTCTTTTACCTAAGCATTTACGAACAAAATATTTGACGCGAATACGTCTCAATGAAATATGAAAATAATAGAAACTTCGACGAACTCGTCAACTAAGTTTTGATGGTAGCTCGGCTGGTTCGGGAAGAACTTTGTAGCTTTTAACTTTTAAGTGACAGATTACATTTCACGAAATAAATATTAAATTTAATACGATGAAAACTGTTCTGAACACGACAGTAAAAATAAGCTGTTCGAACTATTTATTTTGTACTTTTAGAGCAGTAACAATACAAAGCTTAAGTTATAGTATACCTATAACGGCTATAATACTGCATATATTTTGAGTTGTTCCTTTAATCGATTAAACGTTTGACACAGATAGTACTTCAGATGAGTGATTTTAGTGTTGCACGTTAGAACTATTATAATTTTGTTGTATATAAGATGAAATATATAAGTTAATTTTAATCAAGTATAGACATCGAAGTGATTTTAAAAAGACACGTGGGAAGTAGACACTTTAACTTCGCTTTAATAATTTTCTGGAATAAATATGGTCTAGAAATTAATTTCGCAAAAACGTATTATGTGTATTATATATTTTTAAGTATATTATTTACATATCTACCCACTTTCCTGCTGCACACATTTTCTCAATCTATAGTAGAATAAGGATTGGTTTTATCACGAACGTTATTTTATATGCCATCYAGAGTAATATGTATTTTATTTTTTTTAATAAAAAAAAATTTCTCTCACCTTCAAGCACATGTTTGTGATGATGGTTGAGAGTTAAAATATAATATTATGAACAATTTAATCAACTAATTGAAGAACAGATAAAAAATATACAAATTATAAATGTAGAATACTTATTATTAGTTTATAACTATAATGCATAAAAAAATGCAACAGTACAAATAAAATTCCTTAAAAATTACTGAAAAAAGCCACAAAGTGTATATAAATTATAATACACTATGYATAATGATGCATATGATAATAATTACTATATAGTTTATTATATCAATAGATAAAAAAAACTCCAGTATAATGTCTACCAACAGTACTAACAAAGAACGAGATATATTATATTACATTCATATAATTTTTAAATAGGTAACTAATTTCGATTTGTTTTTACTTCTGAAAAATTTGAATTATGGCAATAGGCGCTACACAGCCAAAACATATTAGCTCAGCATTGTAATAACGCACTATAAATTGCGTAACGCACTATATTATATTGCAATATTTATAATTTTTGTTGATCATATATTGGAAAAATTCTAGGTTAATATAAGAATAAATTAACTGTTGACCCAATAATATGAAAAACGAATTATTGCATATTATTATTGTGTAGATTATATTAAAATAAGCTACGTTAATTAAATACGCAATCGGGTTTAATAGACCTCGCTGTAATAAAACATCAGAACGGATAATATCTAACCATAATATTTATATTTTCTAATATAGCGATACTTATATTATATCTAGAGGGGAACAAACCAACGGATATAAATAAATTGAGTTACTTGCACACAGAAATGTAGACTGTGGAGTTATATAATTTGTAATTAAAAGTAGCATAAAATGTCTAAAGGAAGTGCAGTGATCTCATACTATATTATATAATATACTCTATACTATTTTGACGTTCTTTGAGAGTAAACTTAAACAACTCTTGTACATACCTACATCTTATTACATACTTAAAAATTGTAATGTTATTGTGTAATTGGCAATTGCAACCGATGATGGGAGATTGGTTGTGTTCATTAGTACTTCTGATTTATAAATTAGCATTCCGTGTTATTAATAACTTTGRCACTTTTATATCCAGGGCCATAATTATTGTATTAAAATAAATATATTCTTGAAATAAAAAAATATAATTATAATACACATTGTTTAGGGAGTAGTATACATCGTTTTTTTTAAATACTTATACAATAAATGACAAAGCAAAATATAATTAAACAAAATAAAATATTCCTATGTTAACAGAGAAAATTATTTTGATTTAAATTCAACTGTAAATKCATGAGCGCATAATATCAGCGTACATTTAAAATAAAATGTTAAAGAGGACGCGGTTTAAATTCGACAGGGACTGAGTCCCCGTGCGTATTTTCCCCTACTTTAACCCCTATAGCTGATTATATTAATTACAAATGTTATCAATGCCAAATTTATTTTCCCATCAAAATTGTWATACAGGACTTTAGGTTTATGATTTTAACTCGTTTATAATGTTAATTATAAAATGTTGAAGTGACAACGCTATTTTAATTAGTTTTAAAATACAATATATAATTTATAATTACGTACATGATCAAAAGAATATCGTAAACATACAGACTTTATAAAAACATGTCATACAACAGACATACAAATCATTTATAATGGATGCTCGTTGAATATCAGTATTAGCTAAGGCACAATCAAATAYAATATTCTATTTTTTATTAAAATTAAATGGTAGAAGCTCCAATAATTCCATTATGATTTATTACTGCTCTAAAAAACAATGACAATCTGACTTTAAAAGTATACTGTCTGATTTTAAGTTAATATTGTTTCGAAAATATTTATTATCATAGGCAAATTGAAATTTACCTATTTCAATATTTTAAGTCTCAAAATAAATAATAAATAAGATAAGATGYGATATAGAAATCCTTAAGGGACATAAAAACATATTGAAATATGATTTGAGTAAAAATTGTTATATTTTATTATTTGAAAGCGATTTTTTTGAAAATAATTTAAGCATGGAAAAAAATATTTTATACCATAAACTTTAAGTTTTTAAGAAGTAGATTATAATGGCAATTCAGTCAAAAAYCTTCTTAAAATATGCAGTGTACACATCAATTTTAAAGTTTTAACATTAGCAAAAAATTCTACAAATAAATAATGTAGGATATTAGCTTCGTTCGTTATCATTGAATATTGATCTTCTTTTCCTAAAATTGTTCATCAAAAATAGAATTACCCATTTAATGAATTAGTAATTTAACTGACTCATCATCATATAGATGATAACGTTTTCGTTTGTTGGTAAAAAGCTTGCAAGTTGAATGCAGGTTCCCTCACAACTTTCACCAACAGCAAACAAATATTAAAAATACAAACACAATTTTTTTTTTTAGCATATTATGAATTTCAAATGTTACGGGATTTTCTGATGAATAGCGAAAATATGCAATTTATTTTATAGTAAAAATGCATTGCGTTTATTATTTTTTGTACCGAAGTTTTGAAAATATTATATAAGGTTTCTCATTAGTTTTATTAACAAGAATTTAAAAAAAGCAATTAAGCAATTTCACTAAAAAAATATTTGTTTTGAATTAAGTAGGTAATTCATTTTTTCAATTTTTTTTTTAACTATAAATAAAATAATTAATAAATTAATAATTATAAAATAAATAATTTAATGGAGTACTTTTTTTTAGTATTCATATAAACTATTAATTTTTTTTTTCTTTGATGTTTGTTAATTTTTAATGCATATATACATAAATAATGTATATTTTATGGAAAATCGTCATATTTTTTAGTGCATAAGAATCTGTGCTCTAGAAATAATATTATATCATAGCTACCTTTAAATTTAGTTTACATYGTGTCATTATCGTAAAATACATAACATTATAAGCGATTGTACACATAAGGACTGTTAATAAAAATGAACTTTTACGGATTTATTTTTTTCGTCACAAATAACCTGGGAAAAATCATTAATAACATCCGCTCTGGTCCTAGTATACTCAGCCGCAGACTACGCCTGTTGAGTTTGGCTTAACAGCTAGCACTGCTAAATCGATGTCCAGCTCAACCACTCTATGAGAATAATTTTTGTCGCAGTAAAATTTACTCCAACACAGTRACTTTCCGTCTTGTGTAACAYTTTTCCATCTCATATATGCCATTAATCAGCTGGTCATAGATAATGGACAAAATACGCTCAAAACCAATCTCTTCCAATTTATCAGGACACCACTCACAATGGGAGCCTCAGGCTGAAATCCAGAAAACCTGCTCATATAAGTATGAGGGAACTATTATCACAGATCGCTACGACAATCTAGTTGATTGGAAATCGGAATGGGAAAAATCTGATCCGGACATCCACAATATAATACAGTCACTAGKTAACTCGATACCAGGACATCAGTTACCTCGACGTGAATGAGTCGTGCTAAACCGACCTCGCACTGGACATGGGCGCTGTAAAGAATAGCTCTTCAAATGGAAAATGGCAGACCTCCCAGACTGCGACTGCGTCATCCCTTTCAGACCATAAGATCATGTACTAAAAGACTTTCCCATCCACGCATTTAAAGGATCAATGCGGGAACTTCACGACGCTACGGATAAAGCAATCAATCAGATCAAATCACTCGACATCATACTTTAAAGAAGAACGTCCACTTTATTCTATATTTTAAATTTTATCAATTTACAGTTTCCATTCATGTCACTCTATTTTTAATATTACTCATTTTATTTGCTTGCTTGTACTTATATAATAATAACGATCGATAAAAAGTTWAAATTAAATATTAGTAGGTATTTACTATTTAGTATTCTACACGCGAATCAAGATCATCACGTGAATTTATTCTTTTTTTTTCGTCAGAAAATTGTGATTTTTAAGAAACCGACAAGAAATGCGTTATTCACTGAATACTGTGTAAAGTTAGGTCTAAGATTTTTACATCATATAGGTAATCAATGGTATTTATCAGAACCATTAAAACATTTGAACTGGATGACTACTGAAGCGTTTTGTTTTTGTATAACCTTATATGTTATAAATTATAATAAGTATAAGAAACATTTTATGWATGTGCACGGACACATGGTCTAATGGCCAAGACCAGTCATACTCAACCTGTGGCCTAACGGCTAACAACCWTTTTTTTGGCCCACAAAATCTCAAAACGAAAAATTACACTAATTAAAAATTATATTTAATATTATTTGTCATATAATAAATCATAAAAAGTTATTTTATCGTAAATATATATTTAATTGCTTTGTTTTTATGTTTCGTGAATCATCCACACAGACACCAGGCAACGCAATCACTCAATATTGCCGCCCGAGTAGTACGTAATAAACACACACACACACACACACACTATCACACACACACACACACACACACACACACACACACACACACACATATATATATATGGCCCAAGCAAAAAGTGTGACTAGTCTAAATGGATCATCGATCTAGCGAATCACTCAAGACGTTACTCAATAGTACCTATAGTTAAGGGAGTGCTTTGCTTAGTTGYAAGACACAATATATAGCTTATATCATATGACCGGTAGCGTGATGGTATCAGAATTCAGCCGACGCGTTTAAAATCGTCACTAATTGACTTTGGGCTTATATTACAACAGTTGTGTAGTAATCATATACGACTGTATTGATTTAGCTTGGAACGTAAATCGGTTACATTACATGCACGCGATGGTCAGAAACTCTAAAAGCTCTCGAAGCTCTATAAAAAAAAAACTAGATTATAATGRTCTAAACTTGAAGAAATTTCTTAAGAMATGTCTACGTTCATCATTCATATTAACAATAACTAAAATGTCGGTATTAGAATTTAATTATACTTATATATAGGTAATAGATTTAGGTAATGGAGAAGGAGGAGGCCTGCAGGATCTTCACTGCTTCAACTGCGARGAGCTGGAAGACTCAGTGAAGCACACGTTGTTCCATTGTCCGTACTGGGAGGAAGGTAGACATGAGATGGAGTAGTGCATTGGTCGGCGTCTGCGGCCCGAGGATGTCCCTGATATCATTCTGGGGCCGGAGCAGGAGTTCCTCCCTGATGATATAATAAGGAGGATTATGGCGACGGCAGAGAAGCAGAAGCTTGCATTTAACAGGATGGTGGAGACGATACTTGGGCAGAAGGAGGCTGCAGAGCGCGTCAGGCAGACGAGAGGTGGACGAGTAGTATAAGAAATTTTGTTTTCTATGGACCGAAGGCCAGCTTTTCTTTTGTTTTTGGGTTGTTAGAGACCCCCAATTTTGTATAGATTTATTGTCTTTTTTGGTGAATAAACGATATAGGGACGGGTGGCAGTATTGTGCTGAACAGTTCCCACCCGTTCCTGGTTTTTGAACAGGAAAAAAGAAAGGAATAGATTTAGGTATATAGGTATATAATAGAGTTTCGACAGAATACAAAAACATTATAATATGTAGCATATTACTTCGTATACCAAATGTCACATTAATCTTATTTTTCTCATAAAATCGCGAACGTCTTAAAATCATAAATATCAAACTATAATGAAGTGAAATAACAAAAGTCAACCGACCCCCCCAGTATCGAACATCAGTGTAACACAAAGGTTCTCAAACTTATTTCATCCACCTCCTAATTTGAAAATCAATGATTTTCCAGAGCCCTCRATTTTTTTTTAACTTTTACCGTCTATAAACTCAGGTACAAGTACCGTATACAAGTGGGGATAAATGGATCAGATCAGGCCTTTTTTAAATTGTATAAAATAGTGTTCTTAGTGTTAGATTTTTGTAAATTTTGATTTCAACTCATCCAACAGACGGCATACTATTTATACTAATAACTAGAACTTTTAATTTAAAACACTAAAAAATCTTAAAAATTAATTCAAAATGTCAAAAAAAATACAGTTAAAATGCAAAAAATGTAATATAAAATCAAAAAAATCATGGTATAAAATCTACTTAAAATGTTTTTAATTTAATTTTTATTGATATTAATATGTAGCTATATTTGATATGCACAAAAATGTATTTATTTGATAAATATTTGATATATATATATATATATATATAAAGTTGATTTAACTTAAACTTATCTAGCAATTATTACCTTATTTTATCGAATCATTTTCTCTAACCCATAAACTACTTGTATAAAATATAAATTTAAGGTATAAACAACTGAGTAGTGTAAAAAAGAAAAAAMCKTTTCMAA